ATGGTCCTTCCTCTGCAGTCCCTAAAAGACATACCCACTGCCACGTCAGGTCCCAGAGTCGTCTCATATTGTCTGGGTACCCCAATCTCAGATTTTTTTTCAAGAAAATTTCAATATTTTCTTTCCTTACCTAATCAAATCACCTTTAAAATGTGTATCTTCGACCATCTGGTTTTTACTTTTGTTTTGGGGCCATACTCAGTGGTGTTCAGGGTTTGTTCCTGACTGTGCTCAGAGGTCACTGCTGGTGGTATTTGAGGGACCATATGTGGACTGGGGATCAAAACCAGGGGAGCTTTGTGCAAGGCAAGTGCCTTAACTTGTATACTATCTCTCTGGCCCAAACCCAGCTGTTTTTATTTTATTTAATTTTTGTTTTTATTTATTTTTCCAATGTAATGGATTTTTTAAAATTTTATTTTTTTTAATGAATCACTGTGAGGTACAGTTACAGACTTGCAAACTTTTGTGTTTATGTTTAAGTCATACAATGTTCGAGTACCCATCCCTCCACCTGTGCCCATTTTCCACCACCAATAATCCCAGTATCCCTTCCACCACCCCCACCACTTTGTTTTTATTTCAAAGAAAAACAGATAGTCAACACAATTTTATTGTAAGACAAAAACTCTGTAGACTCTGCAAATATATGAAGATACTGACCGGAAATGTCAGTCCTACCACATAACAAAATAGGGTGATTAAAAAAGATATGCATATTTAGTGACAGGAAATAACAATAAAGTGGAAACAAATGCGAAATAGTATACAGAGAACAAATAATGTAGCTTCTTCAAAACATAAAAATTTAGGGGAATTTTTTAAAAAGTAGATTGAAAAAGACTTCGGAGACAAATCAACTACATGCAGTGTATTTGGATCCATTTTCAAGGAAACCAAATGTAAAAAAAATAGTCCCATTTGTTCTTAATTAACTAGGGAGGGAAAGTTGGACTTAATTGTGCATTTGGGAGAGTTAAGGTGATTAAGAAATACTCCATCAAGACTAGCTCTGGGATCTCTGGCACAGCCATGGCTCCAGAAGCACAAAGACTTAATGCAGAGTCCGGCAGCTTGGGGCAGAAAAGTGAATGGACTATGCATTAATCCACGGTACCATGCCTGCCCGGGAGGGAAGGGGTGTCGCTCCTTTCTGCCTTTTTCCCTCTGGGCAGCAAGATGGCGGCCTCCTCAGAGCTTTTTGGAAAGCCAGGTATGAGCTGGCGGTGACGGGGCAACTGAAATCTCATGGGAAGGGGGGCGTTCCTGGCTCGTCCTTCACGCTACCGAGGTCATGAGTTGCCCCCCATGAGCGGCTCTCTGGCACGGCCATGGCTCCAGAGCCACAGAAACCAATCTCGTAATTATCTGTCTCTTGGCAGAAACACCTCCAGGCTTAATAAGTAAAATATCAGAAATCCAAAATCATATGGTTCTCATAACTAACTGTAGAAAACAAATTATTTCACAATGCCTTTTCAGCAGTTCTGATTGTTGGGTGTAAACTCTAAACAATAATAGTGCATCTTTTGTCAAAATAATGAATGTAATCAAAGTAGATAGAGTGTTAAGTAGAATTCATCTACCTCACACGTATTGGGAGGGGTAGGAGGGGGGTATATTGTGGTTCTTGGTGATGAAAAATAAGTACTGGTGAAGGGAAATGTGTTTGATAATTGCATGACCGAGACTTAAGCCTGAAAAGCTTTGTAACTTTTCCCACAGTGATTCGATAAACAAACATTTAAAAAAATTTTTTTTAAATTGTGTATTTGATGAAGAAATTATTATTATTAAATGTACTCAAAAGAACAAAGATGTAAAAAGTCTATTATGCATGAAAATTGGAGAAAAGTGGCCAAAGAGATAATCTAAGGACTAAGGTGCTTGCCTTGCATGTGGCCAACCCTTGTTCAATCCCTGGCACCTCATATTGTCCCCTAAGTATTGCCAGGAGTTACCTCTGAGCACAGAACCAGGAGTAAACTCTGAATACCACCAGGCATGGCCCCAAACAAAGGAAAATAAAAGGATAAAGATTAAGTCCATTCTTATTTCTGCTTTTAATAAATACATGCATTATTTTGGTCTTTTTTGGTTGGGGCATGCCTGACAGTGCTGGAGGATTTACAGTGCCCTGGACTAAATCAGGATCTCCTGCATATAAAGCATCACTTAGCCGGTAGAACTCTCTCTTTGGCCCATAGACATATTGCATATATGTATAGATATACATAAGGAAAAACAATAAACACCTCAATTTACGACTATCTTTGAAAATATTCTGGCTCATTTTTCTTTTAACATCTCTGCCTGAATTTGCCTAGCAGTGTGCAAATGTGTGTGATAAGGGAAAGCAATCACCTTTATATCTTCAGTGACAAGAGCACTGCAAACAGTCGGATGAGGAGGCCATTCAGATTCCTGCCAGGCAGAAGAGGGCCAGGCTTGTGGACAGGGTCTTCAGATCTATGAATGCCCAAATGGGCCCAGAGCTGGTGGCCAAAGCACATAGAACCTCCGAGATCAAGACAGACCAACTGACCTTGACACCAACCACCTGGAGCCTGGAGCTGGCCCTTAAGGAATTGCACACTCCCTGTGCCTCAGTGACCTACCTTCTTCCCACTCCCCCCAATGCTGTGAGAGGACAGATATTTCCTCTGCACCCCCAGTCCATGTCTCTGCCTCCAGTGTTGTGCAGAAGGGACATTAGTACCTACTAGTAGGAACTCAATGATGGCCATATCTCCTTGGGCTCAGCTCCACAGGGGACCCCCTCCAACCCCAAGACTGTCCAGAAGCCTGGGATCCAGGGACGTAGGTGTCCCTAGGACAAGGATAACCCTAGGCAGCCCCTTCCCTGCCCTGTCTCCCCTCCCACCTTCAATCAAGTCTCTATCAAACACTCATGACTGGAACTCAAATCCTAGGCTCTTCACCTCTCAAGGACAACCCTAAAGAGGCTGACTTCTCAAGGCCTCTGGAAGGTGGGAACCCTGAGCAATATCCGTAGTGAAAGACCTCCCAACCCTTTCATTCTTAAGGGAGGAAGCCAGAGCTTTGGGATGTTGACTTGGTGTCAGTGAATAGAAACCCTTTGCGATAGGCTGCCTCAGCTAGGTCCAATGGGTCCTCGACCCTGAGGACAGAGGTTTCTCCCCATCCCACCATCCCCACCAAAGACCTCCTGTGGGCTCTGAAGATTTACCAAGCAATCCCTCAGCAGGGACATCATGCACCCATCCATGCCACTTTCAGGTGCCCAAGGAAGCAGCTTAGTGTCAGGGCTTTGAGAGGTGAGGAAAGTGGGATGGGGAGTGGATTCCAGGGGCCCATGGACAGCCCTTCCATGCCAACATGGCAGAAGCTGCCCCAGGCAGCAGCTCGGGCACACTAAAGGCACTTCCCTTTGTCAATGAGTAGCTAGCCAAACCATGTCACTGCTGCCCCTCTCTTTCACCAAGAGCCTGCTTACAGGCCATCAGTCCTGCTCAAGGCCGTGGCCTATCACTAGGCTCCAGTACCCCAAGTCCAGGCTGAGATGACGTGTCGAGGAGTCTGGGATAAAGCAAAAAGCCAATGACTCACCTCTTCCACTCTGGCCCAACCCATTTCAGCAGAAACCTCCTTTTGCTCTATCAAAGAAACAAAAAGGGGTCCAGGATGGAAGAGGCGGCTGGGTGCTAGAGAAGCCATGCTGGGGGTGTCAGGGGACTTTACAGCGGCATCTGCTGCAGCCAAGGGTGGGACCTTTCAGGTCGGAGAGATAGCCTTCCCCCAACCCTCTTAACCCCTGTCCACATACAGGGTCCTTCTTCCCAGCTGTCCACACTTTCACTCCATTCTAGTGTGGGGAGTGCCAGTTGGGTGGGGTCCTTGGTGTTGACTGATAGCGAAGCTGGCTTCAGGCACAGGTGACAGAACACAGAGGCCCCATCAGTTTGGAGCTCACAGGGAATTCACCGTTTTGGTTCCGGGACTGATTCACTGAGTCAATCAATATTTATTGAGGAGATTGTGAGAAGAATAAACTCCCGAGTTCCCTGCAGTCCTTCTAAACAATGGGGCAGCATTACAGGAGGCAAGGGAACCGGTTCAGTGATATGGACTCTGGCCTCCTCAGTACCACATCCACTCCATGGGTAGCCAGCACTTCCTGGAGCATCCTTCTCTATCCGAAGCAAGCCCTGAAACAGGGTACCATCTGAGAGAGGGGAGACTTGGTGATGGGAAGTAGTCTCTGAACTGCTGGTTTTGTTTGTTTGTGGGCTACATCCAGCAGTGTTAAGAGGCCCAGTGGTTGCCCCTGGCAGTGTCAGGTATTGAACCTGGGCATCAGTACTGAAAGCCTGAGCTCCAGCACTCTGAGCTATCTCCCCAACCCTGACTACTGTTTCCAGTCTATTCTCTCCCTATCTCAGTATGGCCGGCATCAGGAGGCCCATGAGACATTGACTTAGAAGATTCAACAACACGTCACCGAAACTATGATACTGGCAGCTCTGCCTTGCTGTGGTTTTCTCAGCAGCATTTAAATCCATTTCCAGAGCAGGGACCTCTATCCTCAATTAACCAAGCAGAGGGAACGTTGCTATTTGTGAAATAAATGCAGAGACTCTACCCCTTCAAACCAGAAAGAGAAAAAGGTTTACTTTTTCTATTTTTTTGAATTTTGGAGTCATATCTGATAGTACTCAGGGGTTACTCCTGGTGGTGCTCAGGGAAACATATGCCGTACTCCAGGGGACCATATGTGATGATGGTGACTAGGAATTGAGCCAGAGTCAGTAGCAAACAAGGCAAGCACCTTAACCCCTGTATTTATTCTCCATCCCCTATTCATTTAATCTTCATGGAACTTTTGGACCCCCTGAGCTTGAAGAAAACTTCTGAGACAAATTTGTCCCTAGGATTTATAGAAGAAAGCACCTGTGAGCTCATGTACACACACACACACACACACACACACACACTTATTTTACAGTTAAAGAAATAGATAAACAGATAAACCAAGGAATTTATTCAAAGTCATATTCTGCTTCTTATGTAATCTCTGGGAGAGGGTAGGATCTTAAAAGGCTTCTCACACATATGTGCTTCCTTCTACACACACACACATGCACAGCTTGCTAAGAGGATCAGAGATTATTACTGCACATTGATAATTTCAATTATCAAATGTTATGATTATATTTGATGCAAGTAAATTATCACTTTTCAAAATATCCTGAATTCTTTCCTTTGTAAAGTGGGAAACCTGAGCCTTTCCTTCCCTCATCAAAGGTATACATGAAAACATTTTACAAGCAGAATTGGTTCCCTTAAAGCAATCAGGAATTCCAGACACTGACATAGCCTTCCCTTCTTACAAGAGAAGCAGAACCACTTCAAGCTGCTCCTCTCCCTGAAATGAGGGATAACAGGCTGCAGTCCGAGTTATATCACAGCTGCTACACTACATCCTCATTCTTGATTAATAACCTCAAAGTCGCAAATGTGATTGGGAAACAATGCTTGAAAACTGCAGGACTGAAAACAGACATGTTCAGAGGTACTATCCACATGGAAAGAGACCTTACCTGGATATGAGAAACTCAAAAAAGGGTTTTCTGTTTCTCATTCCCATAATTTAATAGAATTTTAATAATAGCTGTGAGTTTGCACCTAAAAGGGGGAGTTAATCCCACGAGGGTGCAAAAGATAGATCTGAGCTAATCAGAAGCAGAATCTCAGGTTTGCCAGGAGGACTCCAGTACTCTCTGCAGGGTCTAGTGACAAAGGAGCCTGCAGGGCTGACCCTGTCCATGAAGTGGATGATAAGTATTGGGATCATGATTATTCTTCACCTTGCACTATAGGTCATACAGAGGTTTAAGGGGAGACGATCTTCAGCCAAAAGTTTCCAGTTTCAACATTTGAAGAATGCAAGCAGGTTTCATGTCACATAGGTTTTGGTTTATTGCTTTGATTGATTTAAAAATGATCTTAAACACAGGAATGTCAGTCCCATTCATCAAACCAAGGCAGGTAACTCTTAGATCCAAAAACCCTAAGCTCTAAACTAAAGCTGCTGACAACCCTTCACTCTAGACCCTGAGTTGCAGATTTTCATGTCAATAAACTTCTTGGGTAGCCAATTCTCTATCCAAAACCAATCTCTTAATATTTCAGGGTGGAACCAGGAACCTAAAAGGCAGATTTCTTTCCTTATTCAACTTGGCTACTCCAGGAAGTGGATTTCCCAGCACCTGGCTGCTCTGTTTGCTGAATTTTTATCAGCACAAACAGCTTGTTTTGACTATCAGTTCTTCCAGGACCATTCCCGTTGTGTTTGTAAGGTATGACCAACTCCTCTATGCAAGTTATGCTTATTAATGAATTAATTTAATTACCCTTACTACTCGGAATAAATTCCTGTGTCAAAGCCCACCACCCATCCAATTATTCGGCCCCAAGGTGCTGAGAGGGTGGGCAGGAAGGTAAAGCCAATTCACTTTAAGGATTATGGTCGTTGGGGTCACATTTGAGCATGACTTTCACGCCTAATCCCTTTTTGGATGTTTCAAAGGCTTCCAGAGCTTTTTCCAGAGGAAACCTATGAGTGACTAACGGTTTTACATTCACAGACTTGGATGCAAGCATTGAAATCGCTGTCGGCCACCTATAAAAGATCATAAGTATTACATTAAAACCTTTAGGAGGAAAAACACATATTCCTAAAAGCACTAAGACCAAGATGATCTTGGTCATTTTTATTTATTGCACTGTAATTCTGCAAAGTCAATTCTACACTCTAACAGAATAGAAATGATCTGGGAATGACTTGCAATTTGGGAGGACAGAGATTATTCCTAAATTCCCTTCCACATCTGTAGAGTCTACTGTGAAGCCTATAATTCCTTTGGTATGAAGGCAGAAGGCCTTTGGAGGCCACTACAAATAGAAAAACCTCTGGGAAGTAGCTCAAAAATTATGTAATCACAGCTCGAAACCATTTGCTGAACTTGGAAACACTTGCTGAAATACTGAATGAGGGAATTATCTTTACTGAAGAAATGGTGAGAGGCTCTAGAGGTGGGATTAAGGGACATCTCTGGGAAAGGCTATTCCAGAGTGGGACCCTTAGCAGAAAGCATGTACAGCAATAGACCAGGAGGTGAGATGACTAAGACCCTCTCAGTTCCCAGGATGGTGGGTAAAGTGGCTCTACACTGGAAACCAAAAGACTTAGATTCTTGTCACAGGTCCTTTCCCTCCATCTTCCCTTTAAATGAGGGAAAATAAGGAACTGGTCCCTTAAGAATGGAAAAGCACAGGCTCAGGTGAGAGTGGTATATGCCCTAGGAGAAAGCATTCTTCGGAGCCAGAGAGAGAGAGTATGATCAGGGTGGTTGCTTGGCATGGGGTAAGCCCTGATTTGAAACCTGGCACCCCTTACAATTTTCCAAGCCCCACCCGGAGTGATTCTTGGGTGCAGGGCCAGGAGTAAGTCTTGAACACAGTTGAGTATGGCACAAAAAAACAAAAATAAATAAAATTTTTAAAAAGAAAGCACTGCCTAACTGCCCCTCCAGTCCTATGGTTCTTTCAAGTGAATTCTCTCTTTGGATCCCTACCCCATTGTATGGTGCTCAGTGTGGTACTCATAAATAGTCAAGACCCTTAGCCCAAGAGGCCATGTGTGTGAGGGCCTGCCCTAGTCCTTTTTGCTGCTCACAAGCCAGTTAATCCATAGCATACTCACGTGTTGCAGTATCGAAATACGCCCTTGATATCCACCTCTCGGACAGCTGCATTCACCAGGGGCACCTGGACCATCTCAGCACCCAGTCCCACAAGCACCAGGGTCCCTCCAGAACGAGTGACCTAAAGAGGAGGTAAGGGTAAGAAATTCTAGAAGAGGACTGGAGTGACAGTTCAGTCGAAATTGCTAAAATGCTTGCTTTACTAATGGCAGACCCAGGTGTGATCCCTGCTACCACATACTGTCCCCCAAGCACCATCAGGAGCGATCCCTAAGTGTAGGAAGTGGATTTCCCAGCACCTAGCTGCTCTGTCTGCTGAATTTTTATCAGCATAAACAGCTTGTTTTGACTATCAGTTCTTCCAGGACCATTCCCGTTGTGTTTGTAAGGTATGACCAACTCCTCTATGCAAGTTATGTTTATTAATGAATTAATTTAATTACCCTTAAACACAGCCAGATGTGGACAAAAAACTCAACTACAGCCATAAAAAAATCCTAGATTTCCCATTCTGCAAAAACCATGACCTTCATATGGGATCACATGAGTATTCAAAAATTCCAGAGAATATGATTCTTTCCTTGTACAGCTGTACTTTCAACATGCCAAACTCAAAAGATCAGAAAACATGGAGGGTTTGAGTTACATACGGTGGTGCTTAGGGTCACTTCTGGAAGGTGCTTGGAGATTGAACAGGGCTCCATCACAAACAAGCAACTGCACTATCTACATGTACCATTTTTTCTACATGTGCAGTATATATACCCTTACTATCTCTCCTGCCCCCACACATATTTATTTTTTCAATAATTTATGCTGTAATGAGTCATCTTTTTAGAACATCTACCAAATTGGTGCCCCCCCTATAACTGCTGGTCAGAGGAGAGTTTCCCCCAATGTTTTTAGTCACATAGAAAAAATGTGAGAGAGGGCCCAAAGGCTTTGAGTGGCCACAGACTGCTCAATGGAGTGGGGAACAGGACCTGGAGCAAGTGATCAAAAATCTCCGAGTGCTGGTCAGAATGCTTGATGCAGAAACTTCTCAAGAAAATGATTGAAGAAACCAGTATTCCTCTCCTTCATGGTGAGGATGAGGAGTGATACCACACAGGCCATCTAGGCTGCCAAGAGGCCAGCAATGTGTTGACCACAGACAGAAGAATTCTTGGCCCAGCTGACTATCATGTGGTGGGTGTCACCACAAAGATGATATTCATCCTAAGCTTGTCATGACCTGGCGGGAAAGGAACTCTCAAGTATGCCCACAGAAGGTGTCTCTTCCTATCCTGCCCCCGCCCCCCCGTTCAATCCGCTTAGGGTGGCTAGTAGTTTTACAGAACCTGTCTTATGTGTAGTTATGTGTAGCTCCATTTCCCACTCAGGAGAGCCTCAGGTTACCTGCACTTCACATCTACATTCAGTTAATTAGCACCAGGATCACACTATCACCAGCTGGAGATGCCAGCAGTCTCCAGGGAGGGCCCAAAAGGAAAGAAATCCTTGAATTGTGAAGTCTTGTCTCTCTAGAGACAACCAGTTACTCTTTGTCATTGCCTTCTAGGTGCCTGAAACAAGGTCTGGCACCTAATAGTACACAGGAACACTGAGCTGATGGGCCATAAGACCCAATGTCCCTCAATTGTAGTTTCCCTCCACTGAGAGGGGCTCACTCCCACCTGGCTCACTCCAGCTGCATCTCAAACCTGGCAGAAGGTGGCACCTGGTCCTGCTTCCTCTGCTACTTTCTTGTCCCCTGTTGCCATAGCATCCTAGCAGGAGGAGGATGGCAAGGCAGCATTGTTGAGGAAGGGGTGTCCTGAGGGCTATACCACAGAGCTTGAGGGAGTAGGCTCTGCGTAAGCTGTGTGGTATACTGAGGGCTATAGGTGCCTTCTTTCTGTGCGATACAGCCATGACTCAGAAGGAAGAAGGAAGTCAGCTGCGGAGGGGAAGCAGCCTGGCAGGTGAGCTTGGGGTGCTGATGGGGCACAGCACCCCCCCACCACCACCACCATGTGCCTTTCTTCCCTCTCTCTCCAAGCAGCCATACAGGAGAGAAAGCTGGCATTGCAGCAGCGGGCTCCAGGCTAATGACCTGGCCTCTCTCCTTAAACCGAGAAACCATTTTCAGGTTCATTGTAAAGATTAGACATTGTGTCTGGGGCACCCAGTGGAGGGCCTGGTGCAGGACATGGCTGGGAACCTGAATAGCATTCTTCTCTGCTCTCTTTTCCTCATTCTTTGAACTGTTAAATGACATTCTTGCCCTTGCCCTTTCACCTCCATGGAGGAGTCTATAGGGTTTGGGCTGTTGATCAATTCATAGTTTGCTTGGCCCACCTGTGGTGGGTGTCACCACGAAGATGATATTCATCCTAAGCTTTCGCCTGGTCTACTCAAACACAATCTAGTAATGACCTGGCAGGAAAGAACAACAGTAGTCAGGATTGATCTTAAAAGGCTTTTTATCTTTGTAACAACTCAATCACAAGTCATTTTGCATCAAAGACCAAAGTTTTTCCTCAATAAAAACAAGGGAGGAATTTCCCAGCCTCAATCAAGGTGTGGTTTCTGGTTCCTTCTGTTGATCCTTTCCTGGAGGAGGCTACCTTTATGAGCCTGAATATCAGTGGGCATTTGCATTTTTCAAGGCCCACCACCTTTTAGGAACCTCACAACCACCTTATCTTAAGTGCAGCCCTGTTACTGTGTCCCTGTTTCTATGGAGATAAGCAGATAAAGATACAAATACATAATTTTCCTCAAAGGCATACCATGTCAGTGGAGAAGTTTGATCCTATGATGCCTAACTTCTATTCTGTTCCCTCAAGAGTAGAAGTATGGGCCCCCAGAGATAGCACAAGAGTAAGGCACGTGAATCCTTGAATCCTGTTGGCGTGGGTTTAAACCCCGGCACAGCACATGGTTCCTGGGCAGTCAGGAATAGCCCCAATCATCACCAGGTGTGGCCCCAACCCCTATCCCCATTAATAATTAAAATGTCCTCTTGGGAAGCTCCTTTGTATGGCAGTGTCCCCTGACCTCCTGCCTTCAGCCAATCCCACTCACACTCTGCAGAGGGGAGCCTTCTGCAGGGACATCTCAGTTAGCATCTAAACAAGTTGAAGGATCTCCTTGCAAGAGCCCAAGAACAGGCTTTTCCATTTGGCAAATGTCTTCCTGGCACACAGCCCACTGACTCATGGCCCTCAGGTCACCCCTCCTGCCCAAAGTCTACATGGCATGGCTGTGTAGCTCTCAGGAGTGTGGCAGTTTTCCTATACATACATTTTAGGGCCGCAGCCTGCTCTGGGCTGGAGCGATATCACAGAGGATAGGGCGTTTGCCTTTCATGTGGCCAACCTGGGTTCGATCTCTTTGTCCCTCTCGGAGAGCCCGGCAAGCTACCGAGAGTATCCCACCCATATAGCAGAGCCTGGAAAGCTCCCTGTGACATATTCAATATGCCACAAACAGCAACAAGAAGTCTCACAATGGAGATGTTACTGGTGCCTGCTCGAGCAAATCGATGAACAACAAACGGAAGGACAGTGCTACAATGCTTAAAAAAAAATGAGTAGGGGGCTGGAGCGATGATACAGGAGGAGGGCATTTGCCTTGCACATGACCGACCTGGGTTGGTTCCCCTGAGCCCCACCAGGAGTGATCTCTGAGCAATGGTAAGCCTTGAGCACTGCCAAGTATGGCCCCCAAACCAATAACTAACTAAATAAAGGGGCAGAAGTACAACTTTGCTTCAGCACAGATACCACAAGCTGCCCTCAGCCCCATATATTCTCATCCCACTCACGTAGATGCCTGTCTGGATGGAAGGTTCTGCTCCAGTGCACTCGATGGTGACTTCCGGCTTGCACCCTAGCAGACCTTCCACTTTGCTGGCAATTTCCTGAGGTTTTTCCTTGGAGATCTGGAGGGTGAAATCAGCCCCAACTTCCTTGGCTTTAGATAACCGTGAGGCAGACAGATCTAAAGTTGACAAAAGGTTCTTTCAGTGAGAAACTGGATGACTGAGGAGGGAGAACATTTAAATGAAGATGCAGGTTCTGACGATCTGAAGACTGGTGATCTGAGAGGTCACTCAGTCCAACACACAAATTCTCTACACCTTCATATACCCCCTTATCACACAGCTTCACACATCCCTCTCACAGGTGACTTCTCACACAAAACACATATAGTCTTCTACTCACACCTCAGGATTCCACAATCACCTACAGACATCTCAGGGACAATCTCTCCCCACAGACTCACAGAACCTTTCTCTGTATATATACATGCTTCTACATGTTCCCATTGCACTCAATTCTATGTACACATATCTATGCTCTCAGAGAACCTTGCTTCACCCCTGTGCTCACGTCTCATCCAAACTACTAACCTCACATATAGACCTCCTCTCCAAATATATCACACCCCAATAATTGCACAACTCATACATCTCATAAACATGTCACCCACCTTCCCCTCCACCCCCAATAATTCCATATCACACACATGCAAACACACCCTCATTGCTTCCTGTACTACATCAGTAGAACCAAGGGCTAAGCCACTCCTCTTGGGAGCAAGTGGGAAAATGGGAATCTGAGGTGACAAACAACACCCAGGCCACTGGCTACCACTCCTCCCCACAGCTTCATAGCAGCCTCCTCCTGGGCCTAGGGATGTGACTTAGTAGCAGCAGACTTTCTTGTAGACAGAGGCCACTACCTATGATCCCCAGTATTGTCCTACCTGTCACCCATGATCCTAGCACCACACACAAAGTGTACCATCACCAGGAGCACTGCAGCCAACTCTATGCAAGAGCCTCAAGTATGTGTCCGAGTCATTGTAACAACAACAAAGGGAGGGGCAGGGGAAAAAAGAGTTTAACAAGAAAATGGGTCTCACATCCCACTCAAAAACAGGAAGAAAATGGGTCTCATACCCTACTCCAAAACTATAAGCCCTTCAAGGAGGGTGTGTGTGTGTGTGTGTGTGTGTGTGTGTGTGTGTGTGTGTGTGTTGTTGGGATTTAGCCCAGGGCCTCACACATGCAAGGCAGCATTTGTACCATTGAGCCACATCCCTGGTCCTCAAGGAAATTCGCAAAGAAAACTTTCTTACCAGTCACCACCACCTGAGCCGCTCCCATTGACTTGGCCACAAGCAACGTAACCAATCCAATTGGTCCTAAATAAAGCAGGAAATAGAAGATGTTTGTAGAATATTAAACAGCAGCGCCCCCTGTGGTCCATTCTAGGTCCTGGATATGCACACTGTCTACTGTGTACCTCTAAGATCTGTCCTGGTGCCTGACAAATAATAAGACATAAATGAAAGTAAGAATTATGGTTTATATGACATCTACTCCCACTACTGTGTTCTGCTTGTTTCCTCACACTTGAGAGCAAGTCATGTCACTCTTACTCTTGAGTAATGATTAGAAAAAATTTCAAAGAACCAGAGCCCAGGGTTAATAGCTCAAAGGCTGGACAGAATACTTTGCATGTGGGATTCCTGGGTTTGATATCCAGCACCATATGGCGTGGGAGCAACTTCCCAACACAGTCAGGATTAGATTATGAGAATTACTGGATATGACCCTCTCTAAAGCAAAACAAAAGAAAAATAACCAGAGGGTCTAAGGGGATATATTTATTTGTTCAAAGAGTCTTAGAAGGTCTAAATATTTTCTACTGATGTGATAAAATATTAATAATATTGTTTAAAATAGGTTAAAAAAGATCTGGAGAGATAGTACTGATGTTAAAACAGTGCTTGTTTGTATGGGGCCAACTCTGGTCTTATCCCTTGGCACTTCATATTTTTCCTCTGAGTACTACCAGTAGTGATCCCTGGGGCTAGAGCAATAGCATAACGGGTAGGGCATTGGCCTTGCACGTGGCTGACCAGGGTTCGATTCCCAGCATCCCATATGGTCCCCTGAGCACCGCCAGGAGTAATTCCTGAGTGCAGAGCCAGGAGTAACCCCTGTGCACTGCCGGGTGTGACCCCCCCCCCCCAAAAAAAAGAAGTGATCCCTGAGCACAGAGTCAGGAATTAATTCTTGAGCACCCCCTGGGTATGGTCCCCAAAGTAAAACAAAAGGTAGTATGAGGCCAGAGGGACAGTAGTGGGAGGAGGGAGCTTGCCTTGCAGCTGTATGACCCCAGTTCTATCTCTGACACTACATATGGTCTCCTGAACCCTGTGAAGAGCGACCCTTCAGTACAGAGCCAGGAATATCCCCCAAGTACTGCTGGATGTGGCCCCAAAACAGAACAGAAAAAAACCAACAACCAGGAATGGATAGAATGAATGGAGGTTTCTGCAGGCTCCACCTGTATGGTTTGGGATCTTTCTCTGCCTCACAAAAGCAAGTAGAGGGTTTGTTTATCTAATGACAAAATCCTCTCCCAAAACTAAGGAGTTGACTTTGGGATTCACAGGGAAAGAAAGATTATTCTCTAAACCTGAAAGTCTGCTTGGGATTTCAGGGGAAGGAGAAAGACCAGAATATTAAGAGTAGGTGTAGTTACCCCAGAATTAATCACTGCTAAGCCAGTCTGGGCTTAATGACAGTTGTGGAAGTAGAGTCCTTAATAAAATTATTATATATGTACATATATATGTTCATAAAAATAAGTAAAGATAGAAATAAAACATTCAGCATAATATCATTTTTAAAAAGTACTGCAGGATTGAACATCAAAATGTAAATAGTAGTTCTCTCTCTCTTTTTTTTTTTTTGCCTTTTGGGTCACACCCAGCGATGCACAGGGGTTACTCCTGGTTCATGCACTCAGGAATTACTCTTGGCCGTGCTCGGGAGACCATATGGGATGCTGGGAATCAAACCCGGGTCGGCCGTGTGCAAGGCAAATGCCCTACCCGCTGTGCTATCACTCCAGCCCCTAAATAGCAGTTCTCTTGAATTTCTCTGTGGGAATGCATGCATGTGTTCACATGAAATTATGTGTATGAGTTTACTTCTTTACTATCACACAAAGATATTATTACAGGCAGAGTTTAAAATAAAATCTGTCACCTGTAACCTGTGGTGTGCTGATGCAGAGAGGCAAGCCTGTGTTACACCCACCAATCTTTCAAGTCCTGCTGTTTCCTACGGAAAATCTCTCCTAACAGGTTATGCAACACCTGATCACACCCACAGGGAGTGTGGGTGTGCTGTCCGGGTCCCCAACAGAAACCAACAGTAATGCTGTCTGGGCTGCCGGGGCTTGTTCCAGTATTGTTGGCTCCTAGGTTCCCTTGGGAGGACCCTCCTCCCTGCCGGAAAACACTGCAAGTTTCCAGAGAGACAGAACTGAGTTTAAAGTGTTTGCCTTGCATCCAGTTGATCCTGGTTTGATCCTTGACATCTCATATGGTTCCCCCCAAACAGCTAGAAGTGATCCCTAAACACAGAGCCAGGAATAAGCCCTAAGAACCACCGAGTGTGGCCCCCAAACCAAAATCAAAACAAAATTTAAAACTTGTAAAATCACTTCCTGCCCCGACCCACGGGACTAGTCAACGTGGATAACTGGGAGAGGGTGCGCGAATGGGAAAAAGAGAGAGACAGAAGAATGGGAGCAAGACAAGACTCTGATCAAGCTCCAAATTTATTTCTTCTGCCAAGCTAGCTTTTTACAATTGATTACATGAGGAAGTGGACAAAATGGGGAATTAACAAAGCATGCAGATTTTCAGGGTGTGAGCCCTAACAGTGGGCTCATGGCAGTTATCTCGGGCATAGCTCAGAAACTTGCATAATGTATTTTAACATTTTTCCAAGAAGAAATTAGGTTCTAAATTGCATGTCAGGCTGTACTGACCTTTTGGCTCCTGGCAACCTCCAGGTTGGGACTTACCTCCAGGTTGGGGCTGGAGAGATAGTACAGCAGGTAAGGCACTTGTCTTGCATGTGGCTGACCTAGTTTGATCCCATATGGTCATCCCATATAGTCCCCTGAGCATGGCCAGGAATGATTACTGAGCAGAGTCAGAAGTAACCCCGAATATTGCTGGATGTGACCCCAAAACCAAAATAAGTAAATGAATAAAATTAAATAAATTTCAGAGAAAATGAATAAAATAGTAGGCTGTGAGAACAGAGATAAAGGTCAGGCAAATACTTACTTTGTACATTTGACATCTGGGTTCATTCTGGGCACCCAAAATTTAAAATGGTAACAATAATCCCTAAAGTGAATGACTAATCCAAGGTACATTTTTTTGTTGTTGTTTTATTTTGCTTTGGGGCCACGCCTGGAAGCACCCAAGGTTTACTCCTAGTTCTTCACTCAAGGACCACTCCTAGCAGGCTCTAGGGACCATATGCGGTGCCAGGGATCAAACCCAGGTCAGCCACATGCAAGGCAAGCACCCTAGTCCTATAATAGCTCTCTGGCCCCAAGGTTTAATGTTCTTTTTTATTTTGTTTTGTTTTTGTTCCAAGTTTCATTTTTTTCTTTTCTTTCTTTCTTTTTTTGGCTTTTTGGTCACACTGGCGATGCTCAGAGATTACTCCTGGCTCTGCACTCGGGAATCACTCCTGGTGGTGCTTGGGGGCTTGGGGGATCATATGGGATGCCAAGGATCGAACCCAGGTCGGCTGCATGCAAGACAAACACCCTACCTGCTGTACTAGAATTCTAGCCCCAAGTTCCAAATGATCCAAAGAATTATGTTGCCTAAGAAATAACATGAACTTTCATATCTGCATGAATTAGTTCATTTAGCAAAAACAAAACAAAACAAAGCAAGGAAAAAACTACTCAATTCTAGGTTGATTTTAGTTCTTGGAGTGATAAGATGGGCAGAGGGTCCCCTACCCCAGGCAGTGTTTCTCACCAGCTCCACACACTAAGACTTTCTGTCCCAGGGTGATTCCGGCTCGCCGGCAGGCATGGATCCCCACAGACAGCGGCTCGATCAGGGCGCCTTCCTCAAAGGTGACGTTGTCAGGAAGCCTGGGGGTCAGTCAACAGTCAGTCCCTCTGGGGGAGCAATCAGAGCTAAGATTTTTTTGAGCATTAACTTAAGTGCCAGGCAATATGTTAAGCAATTTCTATATATTCACTCAGGTAAATCCTTACAACAGTTTGGTGGCAGGTACCTTTGTTGCCATTTTGAAAATGAGGTGGGACCAAAGAGAGTTAACTTAGTTACAAGCTAAGCTAAACTAAGCATACTTAGCATAGCTTAGTGGCCTACACATACGGGCAGCTGGGGTTTGGCCTTAGCACCTCATGGTTCCCCAAACACTGACCTAGGAGTAATCCTCCATCTTCCACCTTTTTGTTTTGTTTTGTTTGTTTGGGGGCCACACCCAGTGGTACTCAGGGATCCCTACTGGTGGTGCTCATGGGAACTTATGCAGTGCTAGGGACTGAGCTGGAAGTCTACCATATGCAAGGTATGTGCTATCTGTCAAGCCTTCCCCTCAAGGTTGATGAAATAAACTAAAACTAAAAAAAACTAAAAATGAGCTTCAGGATGAAGTGGCTGTTTTTCAAAGTTTTATAGCTAGTGAGGGTTGCATAGGGTTTGATTAGGAAACCATATGTGTCCAATTCCAGAATTCTGGCAGCAGAGCCCTGGTCTAAAATGGTTTCTTCAGAGAAGCCACATCAAGGTATATGAGCTAATGTGGTTTTATTTTTATTAATGGTGTAGCTGCCATTAATGAAACAGGTTCATTATGGGGTTGGAATGATGATAGCTCAGTAGGTTGGAGCACATGCTTTGCATGGAGGAGAGGCCTGAATTCAATCTCTGGTCAGTACTGTATGATCCCCTGAGCACTATCAAGAAGTGATCTCAAGCACTGAGCCAGGAGTAGCCCCCCCACAGGCCCATTGTGTGTGTGTGGCTACTATTAAAATTTTTATTTAATTAATATAATTATAATTAATTAAATAAATTTACTATTTATTAAAAATTTAAAAAAACAACAAAAAACTATGGTACATCTACACAATGAAATACTATGTAGCTACCAGGAAAAATAAAGTCATGAGATTCACTTATAAACGGATGGACATGGAGAGTATCATGCTGAGTAAAATGAGTCAGAAGGAGAGAAATAGACAGAATGATTGCACTCATTTGTGGGATATAAAAAAAATAGTATGAGACTAATACCCAATGGTAGTAGAAACAAGGGCTAAGAGGGTTTGGTCCATGGTTGGAAGCCTACCTCAAGTGCTGGGGGAAAAGGCAGTTGGGATAGAGAAGGGACCACTAAGACAATGATAGTTGGAAATGATCACTCTGGATAAGAACTGTGTGCTAAAAGTAGGCAAAGGAACAAACATGATAACCTTTCAGTACCTGTATTGCAAACCATAATGTTAATGCTAATGCTCAGAGAGAGAGAAAGAGAGAGAGAGAGAGAGAGAGAGAGAGAGAGAGAGAGAGAGAGAGAGAGAGATGCGGGGTGGGGAGGGAAGTGCCTGCCATAGAGGCAGGATTTGGGGAGAGGGGCATGGCAGGAGGAAAACTGAGGACTTTGGTAGTGGAAAATGTACACTGGTAGAGGAATGGGTGTTGGGATCTTGTATCATAAACAGCCTTGTAACCGTGTATTTCATGGTGATTCAATAAAAAAATAAAATAAGAAGCTGGCGTGGTTTTACTTGCTGCCCCCTGTAGGACACATTCCAGTACATATATCAGATGTTTTGCCACTGCCAGCTGCTTTCCTCAGGCTAGAAACACTCCTCTGGTTAGATCACACATATTTGCATAAGGCGTTACAGGTTAGAAAAATTTCTGCTCCATTATCTCAATTTAAACTTCAGTGTAACTTTGCCAGGCAGGAAGGGCAAGCTTTATTTTCGCTCTAATTCTATAAAAGAGGAAATACTGCAAAAGGACACTAAGAACTTTGACCAAGATGACAAGACTGATGATGGGCAAAGCAAGCCTGACACCCAATACTCCTGACTTCTGTCTGCCCCGTGTCATCTGCCCCGTTGGTACAAGTAACCCTGAAGATAATTGCTTCTGCCAATACCTCATTTTCAGTGGCCTCCAGACCACTAGGTGCGGAAAGTAAAAGTTTCTCAAGAATCAAAAAGAAAGGTCAGAGACATAGTAGAGGGGATGAGGCCTTGCCTACAACAAACCCTGGGCTGTGGGGCCCAGACTTGGGGGGTTTCGAGGGGGAATCGAATCCTGTTTCCCCAGCCTTATGGAGGGAGGGAAGGGCTGAGGATCCTGGAAATGATGGGACTCTAAGCTTCTTCACCATCCTTACCTGCCTTTGTAAATACCCAGAATGAGGAGGTATTTTGGTGACTTTCACAGTAGAGTTCAGGGATCAGGAAAAAAAAGAACAGAGAATGTTCAAGAAGCCAAGGGGGAAGTAAGAAGAGAGAAAACAGCAGATAAGAACATACAGAGTCGACTGGAGCTATAGTACAGCAGGTAGGACACTTGACTTGCACGTGGTTGACCCGGGTTCGATTCCCAGCATCCCATATGGTCCCTCCCAAGCAACTCCAGGAGTAATCCCTGAGTGTAAAGCCAGGAGTAACCCCTGTGCATTGCTGAGTGTGACCTCCCCCCCCCCCAAAAAAAAAAGCCAAAAAGAACATATAAAGTCTGGAGATGAGGAAAGATTCACAAGGAGAAGCTGAGTCCTGAACTGGTAGGGGACACAAGCAGGACATTCCCTGGCAGAAGAGGAAGGACAGGGGTGCATATCCCCTGGGGACCCCTCCAGGCCCTCCCACTGCTCAAGCCAGAACACCACTGCCCTACATTTCTACCAAACCACTGCCATTCTACCCCACACGGCTCCCTCACAGGTCTGTCCCTGTACTACCCCTGATGTCATAAGCAGACCTGACCTTTTGGAGCCCAGGCCTCACGTGGAGAACCAGAGCCAACTTTCTGAGGAACCCAGGATCACTTGCATTGCCTTGCACTGACGTGAGAAAGATCTCTCCCTTATGTGCTTGGAAAGGCCCACAACCGACAGGCTGCTTCAGGAGCCTCTTGCTGAAGGGAGGGCTTTGCACGAGTCACCCATGTCTTCCAGAGTTCACCCACGTGCTGACTTGCGTGCATGGTGAAGTCTCTGGCCTGTGACTCCTCTCCAAGCTTCCGGGGGGGCGGGGGGCACTTGAAAACTCAGCTCCATCAGACTGTTCCTGTGGGGAGCACCTGGTTGCATGGCATGGACCCCAGTCCAGCCCATGGCATATCCTCGACAACCTGATGGGGTATTAGGAAAATGCCACCCAGTCAGGTGAGCAGAGTGGCCTGGAGCTTTGCTGTTGGGAACCCTAATTCTGACTCCAACACTTTATTCTGTGTGTTGGGGCAGGGCAGTGAGCACAGGGCAGGAACTAGATAATCACAGTGGCTCCAGATTGGTCCCTCACCCACTCTGTGCCAGTTAGCCTCCTGCTGCCTGGGAACCTGCACACACAACTGCAGTCCTCTTGCCCACCCCCCGCCCTCCTGCTGAAGGTTAGATAAGACAAGGCAAGTGAAGTACTGTGAGATCAAGGCCAGGCATGTGGTAACAGTAACTGACTTCACAGGCTGGGCCTCACTCTTCAGGTAATTAAAAGAAAGTAGAGGGCTAAGGCACTTGTCTTGCATGAAGCTGACCCTACTTCAATGCCCGGCATCACCTATGGTCTCTTGAGCACCACCAGGGGTGATCCTTGAGCACAATGCCAGCAGTAAATCCTGAGCACATCTGGGTGAGGTCCCCAAGTCCCCCAAAAAGAAATTAAAGAAAATGGATAGAGGGAGACAAAGTCGCTCCCTGAAAGTCATCAGCCTGGAGTGTACAGTTGTTCCCAGTGGTCCTGCCCGGATTCCATGCCATGTTTCCTTAGTAAACCTTGACTCAAGGTTGGAGCAATAGTACTGTGGGTAAGGCGCTTACCTTGCATGTGGCCAACCCAGGTTTGAGCCCCCAGCAACACATTTGGTCCCCCTAAGCCCCACCAGGAATGATCCCTGAGTTCAGAGCCAGGAGTAAGCCTTGAGCACTGAGGGGTAAAACTTTCCCCTCTTCCCTCAAAGAAACAAAAAACAAAACAAAAAACCCTCCATTCTTGTGTTTCGTGCTGTTGAACATTCTCTTTCCTGTGGTAGCAGTAGCTGGTAATTAAAAGAAAGGGTAAAGGTAAAGGTAAAGGCCCTCCCGTTGATCGTCGATTTGCTCGAGCGGGCCCAGTAACGTCTCCATTGGAGACTTTATTGTTACTGTGTCTGGCATATCGAATACTCTCGGTAGCTTGCCGGGCTCTCCGAGAGGGGCGGAGGAATCGAACTCGGGTCGGCCATGTTGGCTGCTTGTAAGGCGAACGCCCTACCTAAAAGAAAGGGGAGAGTCAAGTCACATCCAAGAGGGCTGGAGAGAGAGGCTGGGCAATGGGACAACCATTGTCTGCTGTGGGCCTGTGTCAGGGATGTTAGGGAAGTGTGGAAACCAAGCACCACTGTGAGTCAGTCTAGGCAAGCTGAGAAATAAGCTGCCCAGCTCCCCTCCCTCATACCACCAGACCTGCCAGGGGCATGTCTCACGTCTGGGTTCAGAGACTGAAAAGAACGTGATCGCCACAGGGAACTAACAGAAACCCAAACAGCTTGGGGGTGCGGCAGAGGGCACTGACTTATAGCAGAAGTCGGCGTTGTGCTTGTAGAATCGGCAGAGGTTCCCATCATCTGGCGGTGTGGCACAGAAGAAGATGGTGGGTGACAGATTATACCGGCCTATCTTGCAGAATTCATCAGTTTGTCGGGGAGCACCGGGCTCAATGGCAACGCGATCGCCTAGAAAGAAGAAAAAAGAGGCTAAGGGGACCTGTGTTCATGGGTTAAAGCCACCAGGCAGGGGAGTTGGGCCCACGTGCTCTGGCAAGCCCAGCTCTCAGAGCTTTCAGAGGAAATATGTGTGCAATGCAGGCTTGTACATTGTGGGGAAACAAGTTGCCCACTTCACACGCTGGCTTGACCTGCCCTTTAACCAACCTCAGGCCCACCTGCCCATCCCGCAGTGGCATCGCAGTCTCCCAGCTTGAAAAACATAGACTGTGCTCCACCTTGAAGAGAAGCCAGGCCAATTTCCCATCCCACACTTGTGCAAAACTTGCTGCTAGAGTACAAAATATGGATGGGTCAGAATCAGTTGGCCCTACTTCCCTTGTGACTGATCATTTCAGCAATTTCAGGTCCAGAGGCTGAAGTGAGGAAAGTCCCTCGTCCTCTGCACATCCGAATGGCCAACCTCCAACACTGGCTCACCAGCTGAAGGTACTTTTGATCTGGGGACCATTCTAAGAAGTTAAAGGTAAAGCTTTCTTTCCAGGGCCAGGAAGAAACCCAGACCAGATCCCTTACATCCTGGTCTGGCAGGAACTGGTTGAGAGACCCCCCTGCCTGGTTAAAAATAAGAACTTTATGAAACAGTACAGAGATGGGGTTTATTTTCTATACCGCTTAGTTTAATAACTGGGGTGTAGAAGCCATCAGAATAAAGTTTTCTCAGGGGGTATGGTGCTGCCAGCAGGTCAATCTGTACCTGTGAGGTGAGTGCATCAGCAGCCTGATGGCGCCTTCAGACTTCCATATACCCCAAAAACTTGGGGTAAAGTTTACCAAGAAAGTAGCACTGTAGCACTGTCCTCCCGTTGTTCATCGATTTGCTTGGGCACCAGCAACGCCTCACAACAAACTGTGAGACTTGTTGTAACTGTGTTTGGCATATCGAATACATCACGGGTAGCTTGCCAGGCTTTGCTGTGCAGGCAAGATACTCTGAGTATCATGCCAGGCTCTCCGAGAGGGACAGAGGAATTGAACCCAGGTTGTCCACGTGCAAGGCAGATGCCCAACCCACTGTGCTATCACTCCAGCCCACCAAGAAAATAAACGTCCAAAAGTTAGGTATGTGGAAGACACACCCACAAACCACCTCTGACTCCGCTATATAATTGGAAGCAAGGCCTCTCTGGTTCCTGATCAAACTGCTTAATGACCATGATCCCAGAGACTCAGAGACAAATCTTGGAACCCAGCGACCTTTGAGAGAGAGCTATCCAGTCCTCACAATGGGTTACTGGCGCCCAACCACCCCAGGGGGGGAAAGGGTGTTGTCCCTCTGCCTGCTCTGCTCCCCTTTGGCAGCTCAGTGGCCACCATCCACCAGAGGCCACTGGACAGTCAGGTTTGGGCCCACAGTGACGAGACATGTGGGGCCTCAAGGGATGGGGGTGGAGCCGACCCTTTCCTCCCCATCCCAATGTAACCCCAAGTCGCTGCCCCCGAACGGCCTCTCTGGCTCCTGATCAAGCTGCTTAATGGCCATGATCCAAGAGACAAAGGAACAAATCTTGGAAGCCAGCAGGTTTTGGCAGAAATACCTCCAGATTTAATTGTTAAAATTTCAAAATTCCAAAATCGCCCGGCCACTACTGTGGTCACATGACATCGTATGTTTTTCATAACCAGCAATAGAAAACAAATTGTCTACTGTTGCCTTTTTGGCAGATATGAGTGTTGGGGTAAAATCCCAAATAATAATGGTGGGTCTGGTGTCAAAATAATGAATGTAATCAAAGTAGAGAGAGAGAGTAATGTGGAAATCATCTGCTCCACAGGTAGGGGGAGGGTGTGGGATGGGGGGTATACTGGGGTTTTGGTAGTGGAAAATGGGCACTGGTGAAGGTACAGGTGTTTCATTGTATGACTGAGACTTAAACCCGAAAGCTTTGTAACTACTCTCATGGTGATTCAATAAACAAAATTATAAAAAAGGAAAAAAAATAAAGTTTTCTCATGCTTACATAAACATTAACAGTCCAACTATTTTCTTATGCTGCTATTTAGAAGTTTGGTGATTACCAATGGCCTCTTTTTGTTTCTAAAAATATTGTGTGAATTGTGATATTGTTACAGTATCTGGTGTAAAAAAATTCTTATGATTTAAGAACTTTTAAAATTAAGCCGAAGAAGGTTTTCTCATGTTTCATGAAAAATTGATGGTTCAAAGGCTTTCTTATGCTGGTGTGTCAAAATGTACATATTTGTTTTGTTTTTGCATTGGATTATTAGAATATCTAACCTAGAAAACTTTGTGAGCTGAAGAAAAAAATTATGGTACATGAAAACAGGTTCAAAGAGTAATGATTTAGCTTAAAATGTGTTTAGAGTTATAAGATTGGTTGCCAAATTTTTACCCTACTAGTGTTTTCTTTGATCTCTGAGACTTTTAGCAACTTAAATTTCTGGATATGCTTAGCAAAAAGTTAATAATGTGCTAAGATGTCAGCGTGATAGTCTGATAAGTTTCAAAGATATAGAACTTTCCTGCTGGAGCTCCAGACCAGCTTTCATTTTACTGGAGATAAAAAGAGAAAAAATAGCCATCTTAAAATTTGAGCAAACAGTCCCTTTGACCTTGTAAAGTGTGTAGTGCGGTGCAAGGCTCTGAGCCGCCCCAGCAACTATGAGTGATGCCCAAATAAAATAACTAGTCCACTTTCTGTGAGTGTTTTTATATCTGTTTATATCTTTATATCTGTTTATATCTTTTTGTATCTGTTTCTCTAGAAATTGGAATTTTAAAGAAACAACTTAGTATGTTTTAATTCCTAATGTGAAGTAAACTTTTGCTAGTTCGTTTTGAAGTTAAGAAATTGATATCTGTAAGAGCATCCAAACAGGTAAGGAAGAAATCAAAGCTCTCACTATTTGCAGATGATATGATACTAAGAGAACCCTAAAACCTCTACCAAGAAACTCCTAGAAACGATAGACTTGTAAAGTTGCAGGCTATAAAATCAATACCCAAAAGTCCATGGCTTTCCTATACGCAAATAGTGAGAGAGAAGAAAATGACATGAAGAAAGCAATTCACAATTGTACACCAGAAAATCAACTACCTAGGAATTAGCTTAACTAAGGAAGTAAAGGACCTGTACAAAGAAAACTACAAAACGCTGCTTCAGGAAATAAAAGAGGATGCGAGGAAATGGAAGAATATCCCCTGTTCATGGATTGGGAGAATTAACATTGTCAAAACGGCAATACTTCCCAAAACACTGTACAAATTCAATGCGATTCCTATTACGATACCTATGACATTCTTCAAAGAAATGGAGCAAACACTCCTGAAATTTATATGGAACAATAAGCCCCCATGAATAGCTAAAGCAATTCTTGGGAAAAAGAAAATGGGAGGAATTAACCTCCCGAACTTCAAACTCTACTACAAAGCAGTAATAAAAAAAGAGCATGGTACTGGAACAAAGACAGAGCTGCAGACCTATGGAACAGGGTTGAATATACTGACATCTCCCTTCAAATATATGATCATCTAATCTTTGATAAAGGAGCAAGAAATGCGAATTGGAGTAAGGAAAGCCTTTTTAACAAATGGTGCTGGCAAAACTGGACGGTTACATGCAAAAAAATGGGCTCAGATCTCTGCCTAATACCATGTACAAAAGTAAGACCAAAATGGATCAAAGACCTCAACATCAGACCGAAATTCATAAGGTACACTGAAGAAAAAGTTGGCAAAACCCTCCATGACATTGAAGCTAATGGTATCTTCAAAGATGTCACGCCACTGGCCAAGCAAGTGAAGACAGAAATAGACAAATGGGACTATCTTAAACTAAGAAGCTTCTGCACCTCAAAAGAAACAGTGACCAAAATACAAAGACAGTCTACAGAATGGGAAAGGATATTCGCTGAATACACATCCAACAAGGGGTTGATATCAAGGATATACAAAGTACTGTTTGAACTCCACAAGAAGAAAACATCCAACCCCATCAAAAAGTGGGGCGACAAAATGAACAGAAACTTTCTCAAAGAAGAAATCCGAATGCTAAAAGGCACATGAGAAAATACTCTATATCATTAATCATCAGGGAGATGCAGATCAAAACAACAATGAGATATCATTTCACACCACAGAGACTGGCCCACATCCAAAAGAACAAAAGCAACCTGTGTTGGCGCGGATGTGGCGAGAAAGGGACCCTCCTTAACTGCTGGTGGGAATGCTGACTGGTTCAGCCCTTTTGGAAAACAGTACGGATGATTCTCAAAAAATTAGAAATTGAGCTCCCATCTGACCCAGCAATACCACTCCTGGGAATATACCCCGGAGAGGCAAAAAAGTATAGTCAAAGTGACATCTGCACTTGTTTGTTCATTGCAGCACTCTTTACAATAGCTAGAAAACCTGAGTGCCCGAGAACAGATGACTGGTTAAAGAAACTTTGGTACATCTACATAATGGAGTACTATGTAGCTGTTAGAAAAAATGAAGTCATAAAATTTATATACAAGTGGTACTACATGGAAAGTATCATGTTAAGCAAAATGAGCCAGAAAGAGAGGGATAGACATAGAAAGATTGCATTCATCTGGGTAACATAAAGTAACAAAATAAGAGACTAACACCCAAGAACAGCTATGATAAATACCAGGAGGTTCACTCCATGGCTTCGAGGCTAGCCGCACACTCTAGGGATAAAGGCAGCTCAGATAGAGAAGGGAGCACCAAATAAAGGGTGCTGGGAAGATCCGCCCAGGATGGGAGATGCATGCTGAAAGTAGACTATAGACCGAACATGATTGCCACCCAATGCCTCTCCTGCAAACCACAGCACTCAAAAGGAGAGAGAGAACAAAAGGGAGTGCCCTGCCACAGAGGCAGGGTGGGAGGGGGGTAGGGGGGTGGGAGGGTTACTGGGATTGGTGGGGGTGGAGAATGGGCACTGGTGGTGGGATGGGTACTTGATCATTGTATAACTGAA